TTTCCTATGGTTCTCTAACCGATATCAGCTCATCATGAAATCCTGTAACCAATACTTGAAAATTATGATTCTTCTTAGAAAACCTTGAAAAAAATTATCCAAGTATGTTTGGTATGAGGCAGTTCCTTCTGTGTCCTACTTTACAACTGTGAGACAAAACCGCCCCCAAAACAAATATGAGACAGATTGCAGCCTTTAGCGACTGATATCTTCAGTCGCTTGTTAGCATTACTCAGAGCAATATCAGAAGTAACAATCTCAGGTTAAGCATGATGTTAGGTAAGGTAGAAGGGGAAGTCAATCGATACTGTCCTTCAGCATGAAGTAATAAAACTATTTTTTTGCAATGAAAGTCATCTAGTTGTCTTCGGTGAAGCATGAGGCCGTCAAGAGGAAAGAGAAATGTACCCTCAAGTCTATTAATAAAGACTGTCTAATCACCTTTCAAATCATTCTATAATGACAATTGGTTATCTGTTCAATTTTCTATAGTTTGGTTTGTAAGGGTTAGTTATGTTTTTACGAGTTGAACACGGATTGATATCAGTTAGAGAACCACTGAAAACCAGGGAGTACTGGACAGATGCTGTAACCGGAAGGTCCTGGGTTCGAACCCTAGTGATGGGTGTGTACTGCCGATGATTCCCAAACTAGGATGAAACAGCAGCTGTCCAGTACTCCCTGGTTTTCAATGGTTCTCTAACTGATATCTGTTCAATATTCTACATTTAAATTATCTCGGTCAGATTTGTGTATATGAATAACAATTTACTAACTGTATATTTAAGAATAGATGTTCTGTATTATAATATCAACTCGGTGGCAGCTTGCGTGCATAATGCTCTTTGTCCATGAGCAGTGATCACTAAGTCATACTATCAAGCAAATGTTATCGATAACTAAATAAGCACTAATCAAGTTTAGTTTTATCGATCGAATAACCAATCAGTTGTACTGCAATATAATATAATTAATATGGCAATCATATTGGATGAATATAGAATTTATTTCTATTTATTTATTTATTTATTAATACTCTATTTGTATTCATTGAACAGTCAAAAGGTTAACTGACAACAATACTGAAGCTTTCAAGTAATATTTCTTAGAATAAACTGTTTGTTTAACTAAAGATAATATACTTCTGTTCTTTGTAATAAAAATATCAATACATTTTCAACGTGATATATGATAATTAGTCATTTTGTTCAAATTACAACTCTTTCGCTTAGAATAGGAGTGTTAAAATTTCAATAGTGGCGGTAAATTATAATATAATGACTAAAATTATCACAAATATTAATTATTGATTCATTGATTGGGCACTAGGTAGCAATTATAATATTGTAGTGCACCTTGAATGTTTGAACTTTTGTTTTAACGCATTCATGTGATATGAAGCCGTGTTTTCACTGTGCTTCTGGCGTGACTGCTCACACGTGGCTTGCTCCCTCGTTGTGCTATCATTAGGGGCACTCTTGAGCTTTCTACCCCAGCCAGTTAGCAGATAAGTTGTACAATATTCATGTTTATTAAATTTAACATTTAATCTGTTGTAAAAATATATTCCTCACCTGAGCACACCACCTAGTCACAAATCTTTTTACTTCGAGTTCGTTTATCGGTACCTATACGTCAGATAGGGTACTGATCACGGTTACCCGAGGAAAGCAAGTTTAGTAGGTGCTGACGTTGAGGGGTATCTAGAAATTGATATCGGCGCTTACAATATCATGATTCAACTCTTTAGTTTGGTGTAGACTGAATTCCATCAATGACATACGCCATATGGCCACCATCCTGCGTGACTCGCCATTATGGTGCACTCTGAAATATTGTTAGACGGTTGGAGGCTTTCGGCAGGAAGCCTTCAACCTAGGTTTCGTGCCTGTCGGCACTCGTCAGCGAGACGTATCTGCTATCTTGAAGAAACTCTTCTCCCTTCGATGATTCAAAGACGGGTCACGCAGTGCTGCTGTCAGAGACGTTACCACTGAGCTATTCGGACTCACAATTGACCTCCTGTGGGACAGTAATGGCCACACTGCAAACTTGACTTGTAGAATTCAGTCTGCACCAAACGAAGGATTGCACGCATGACATTGGTTACTACCTAGTATCCAGTCAAAGTATCCATTACATTCCTGCAAGAGGTCAACCGCAAGCTCGAATAGCTCAGTGGTAACACCACAAACTGCAGCACTGAACAATTTAGGTTTTAATCTCAGAAGAGACATGAATTCCTTGAAGATTGCAGACACCACTAGTTGACGAGTGCCAACAAGCACGAAACCTAGCTCCAAGGCTTCCTGCCGATTACCTCCAACCAGCTAACAATACATCAGTGATCATAATTTTAAATCTAATTTTAATTACTCTCAGTATAGGAACGACCACAGTATTTGCTAGTGGCTTTTCAGTGAATGATAGAGCAGAAGATGTAATTATAGACTACCCAATTTCAAGTCTGAGCTTTTTTTCAGTTAGCAGTATAAGGCTTAACAATAGTAATCATGCTAAATATTTTAACGACTATATATGATTATAATAATAATAATAATAATAATAATAATAATAAATACTGAGACTTTATAACATTAACGAAGTGTCTGAATATTTAAGTATACGGGTCGCTAAAAACGTTGTTTTCTTCACACACACAATCCTTGTGGCTAGTATTACATTTAAGTATTCATTACACTCATTATCTTTTTTAATTGCATAGTCTTGGTAATCAATACTGTTAACGTGATGGCTAAGAAATAATGTAAAAAAACCATGTTCTACTGCTCAGGGAATACAGAATTCTGACGATTAATGAACTTAAGTAGATATGAGAAAATTGTTTAGTTTTATGATTCAGGTAGCAAAATGTTCAATATTTTGGTTAAGTTTAGTATGGCGCTCAATGTTGGCGGGCACTTAAAGGAACTTTGCCTAAAATTGTTCAGAATAGCTCCAATCTATCAAAGCTTTGTTTGTTTTATTAAAATAACTTTCGGCTGATAACCCTTCTCAATTCAATACTGAAACTACCTTTCTTTCCCGTTTATGTCTTCCAGGTGACTTTTATTTTGCTGTGTTTTTCATACAGTAACTGAATTTTAGGCATTACCCTAACTTAAACTTTCTTTTCTTTAACTCATACAATAAATTGGTATATAATCCATATTCATTCAGTTTCTGTTTTCGTCTTATTCCTTCATTTCAAACTAACTTTAGAACGTGCTTTGTAAATATTCTCATTCTCTTACTCTTTTGAACAATATTGTTGTCTCCAAGTGCTTTTATATTTTTAATTTTTGATAGTAATCATTTCTGAGTGATGTTCATTGCCTTCAGATTACGTAATTTGTTATTTTGTTTGATCTGTGAATGTGCATGTTTTCTTACCGACTGATATGACTAATTGACCTTATAGGCTATTCTCTGACCTTTTATAACGCCAAAAATAAATGTATCGCTATGAAAGTGAAATTACGAAAAGCATACTGTTTTCTGATTTATGCCTTTTTAAGTGATACGTGGAGTTGTAAGAAGCGAGCAAGCCATCTCTGCCTTACCAGCTCAGTACTCTATCGATTCAAGATTTCATTCTACTTTCAAACATCACGTTATGACAGCTTCATTCTGTGTTTCAATGGGCAAAATTTCTTATGAAAGATCAATCTTCCGGTACAACAAATTATGATAAATGTCAATTAACAGATATGGAAAAAGTGTTAGGCAATGATAATTAAAAAAATTAAATTACCAACACAACATTTTTTCAAGTATTGGTTTTGTAGGGATTTTGTTTGATTGGTTGGAGGATTTCATCGTGAGCTGATATCAGTTAGAGAACCATTGGAATACCTGTAGAGAGTACTGGACGGCTGTTTCCTACATCCTAGTTTGGGACTCTTCACCAGTACGCACCCACCATCAGGTTTGAATCCACGACCTTCTGGTTACAAAATCAGCGAGCTCGTAGACCATTAAGCCACTGAGACACGATCCAGTAACCAGTGCATGAATTCAAACTTCTGCCAGTTCATGACATAGCATGACCACTTCTCAATGTCTTCTTCGATGAGTTACTGTCTCATCTTCAATCTACTGCACCCTGCTGGTTAAGGCTCCCCTGAATAGAGCCAGTTGCTGCAACCAATCAGACGAAATTCCCTACAAAACGAATACTTGAAAATTAATTTGATGCTCACTGGCGACTGGCCCTATTGAGGTTGGTAGTTGCCTGGGCTTCTAGTGGGAAGCCGTGACCTGCAGGGTGCAGCAGGTTGAAGGTGAGACAGTAACTCAGAAGACATTGAGAATTGGTCGCGCTATGTCAAGAATTGGTAGAGGTTAGAATTCATGCACTGGTTACTGGATCGTGTCTCAGTGGCTTAATGGTCTACGAGCTCGCTGATCTTGTAACCAGAAGGTCGTGGGTTCAAACCCTGGTGGTGGGTGCGTACTGATGAAGAGTCCCACACTAGGCCGTAGGAAACAGCTGTCCAACCAATACTTCGTGCATGTTTTGCAGTTTTTCTCTAACTGATGACAACTCATGATGAAATCCTCCAACGAAAACACTTTTTTTAAATTTTGACATTTTAAACTGTACTCAGAAGAGTGATAAACTAACGAGTTAAATGTAGGTTAATGTTAGTTAGTCTTTAAGATTGTTATTCTTACTCCTTTCATGAAACACTCATCATCAGAGAACAAGAATTGTATCTAGTGAATGAGTAATATACACACACGTCGGTGGTTCAGTGATAGATCACTGGCTGACCAAGCAAGTGGTTCGGGGTTTGATTCCCCACCGACACACTCCTAAACCTTGGTAAACCGTAAGTAAGCCTGGTAAAGATGGAAAGTTGGGCACGTGGCTGGCAGCCTCATCCCGCAAAAAAAAGTCTAGTTGAAGCTCTAGGTTGCACTGGGAACGCAAAGGAACCAAATATTATATAAATATATATATATGTATATTTAATTTACACTAATTAAGAACATACCTTGGTGTCCTCATGACAGGTGTTGTAGTGAAAACTTCAGATCCGTCTGGATTAATTTCTTTCTTAGGCAACCATTGATCATTTCCATCAAATGGTATATTCAATTCAGACGGAACCAGTGAACATCGTTGTTTTCTTCTTTCCAAGATAATTGTTTCTTTATTAAACAAAAAGGAAAGAGAGAAGAAAAAGATTTATCGATTAAATTTAATTTTTTTAAATAATCCTACTTTGTGTATTTTGTGATGTTGACACAACTGTTGTCTGCTGTTGATTATCACTTGTCCTGATCGTGGTATTCAATCCATCTTCTAAAATTCCTCCTTCTTCTCTGAAATCAGTTATAGTTTTCTCATAACTGACATTTTGAAGTTGTTGATTCGATGCTTCCCATATACGTAATTCTTGTAATATATCCGAAATTTTAACTAATCCATCTTTATCTCTATCAAGTTCATTGAATAGAGTTAATGATAATTCACTAGATAAATCGATTGTTGAATGTGAGCATAATTTTATCCATTCACTTTTATTTAAATCACCGGAATCTTCAAAATCATAACTTTGTAAAAGTTTTTTAAGATTCTCAACTGTCATATCTGTTAGAATATTCCCAATAAATATTGATTAATATCTTGAATCACTGTTGCTTTGATTGCAGAAATAATAAAACATTAAGAGAATATTGCGAAACAATTGGAGAAGTTATGATAATCCACTAAAACTAAAAATGCAGTCATCGTCATCATTGTGATTTTATTTGATTTGGCACAGTCATTGATTCTGTGTATCTCTCACAAAATCGACATACATACCCCCTGTTTCTTCTCCGCCTCATTACTATTTTTTTTTAGTAGTAGTATTATTAATCATAGCACCAAATGTGTACGCAGAAGAAAATGGTAAACCTAAAGCTTAACCACACACAAATCAAGGTCATCTGATAATTCTACGCATACAAACAAACTATTTCTCAAATCTGATTGGTTACTGACATAAGTATATATATATATATATATATGATTAGTTAATGACATGACAAAGTGTGATTTTTGATATTCTCAAGACATTATCAGCAAATAATTATTGCAGCTAATGAAGAAAACAAAAATGACCAATTGAAATATTCAACATAGAAAGAATAATTAATCATATCACACCGAAAATGAAGTCATTTTGATGCACTGTATCATGGCGGCCTAATGCAATCAAACAAAACAATCGTATAAGGTAACGTGCTTCATCAAATAGTAAGTGAACATATTTTAAAAACTAAGTTTCCAGTTGTGCTAAACAACTGTTGTAATTCCCGTGTTTAAATAAATATGCTAGGCTAGAGCTGTGCTAAGAATTCTGTAAAAAAATTCTTTTGTCTCTACATGTTTCAGTTCTTTTCCAGTTGAATGGAATTAGAGAAATTTTAATAAAGTGTGTCTACTTTTAGCACGTGTGAATATCATGAACCTGAATACTAGTCAATCTCATCATCTGAACAAACAAAATACACAGCATACTTGAATGTCAGTGGATTATTAATAATCTGAACAACAGCTCTGTTCACTGTTCAAAGGGTGTATTATCATTTCAGAAAATATCTCATAGTTTAGTAAATATTATTTAAACAAATATAGATAGGGACAAAGAATATTTATCAGGCTTTTATCATTATGTACGTACCATAATTCACTGGGTATTTTTTTTGTTTACTTCAAAAAAGTTGATCTCACATTTTCTTTTTTTTTTAGAAAATTACACTTATTTAAAATGAACTATAGACATGACCTAGATATTTATTTGTCCATTGGACACTGATCAATAGACAATTAAAAACTTAAGGCTGTGATTATCAATTAGCATTTTTACTACCGGTTGAAATTTATTGGTCAGTCAGTCATACAATCAGGCAGTCAGTCTAATCCATACATATGCTTTAATTTGATTGGATGAATAAATAGCACGTGAATGTTTTGTTGGTGAGTTTTCTTTTTTTTAAAAAAAGCTTATTCTTTTGTGTATAAATTGTTGAACTGTTTATAAAATAAACAGTTACAAATAATTAATAGGGATTAAATTTGGGTTAACTAATTTAAGTATTCTAGTAAATTAATCCACATAATTACTCACTATGGGGGCTAACTGAGTGGCTAATACAACAATTTGCAGCAGTGCAAGCTGCAATACTCCACATAGTACACAAAGGTAGAGGAAATAATAGAAATTCAAAAGAATTACAATGAGCAGAAATACTTTCGGAGAAAGAAAAATTATATGTAGAAAACATGAGGGTGAATGCATCTGCGACATTTGGAACGACTTTAAGCCATATCACTAGAAGTCTCAAGCCACTGATTCGTAACGCCCCCAGTCGAGTAGTTTACGCCTCTCTACACGTCTCAAATCAGAACTCAAAGATTTCATGGACTGACTACCTGTGAGTCTTTTCTAACTGGATTCTATATAAGTGACCACTTGGAATGTGTAACACGTGTCCTAGCCACTTTAGTCAATACAGCTTCACAACCTTATCGATTAACTTTCTCTTCTTACCTACCATCTTATACTAGATGTGTTTATTTGACAGAATACACGATGATAAAGTATTAATTACTAGATGACGTTCAGAACACAATTTATTGATCATAATCATATCAGGGTAAATTATGTATTATTTAACGGAATTAAATTCACTATTCCATTTGAACTGAATACCTTATATTAAATTTTAAATTTCAATAGTTTGCAAGTTCATTGACACGGAAACAAGCAAAATATAAATGAACATGTATAACCATCGACCAAACAGCTAGAAGGCTTTGTTTTATACATTTGATCTGTACTGATTTTTGGAAAGGATCAATTTGTTAGACGGTAGGTGTTTTATGTAACCAATCAAGATAAGTTAATCTTTGATCTAGTCCATATATATATATATATATATATATATATTCCGGTTCAGTAGTCAGGGGATAGTCTTTGTCTTTTCATATTTTGGGCGCTCACAAAAGTATACGTTACTGAGGGCAAACAGTCCTTAATACCCATTTCAAATGTCTGTTGCCTTCAGTGACGTTAATACTTATACGATATTCCACTTGAATGCTATATGCTTCATGAGACAGCCTAAAGACTTAAAGAAACCAGTTTCACTCAGTGGTATTTTGTTTGACCGATTCGTGTATTTATGATTTACCATTGTGGTAAGTTATGTATTGAAAGCAAGGTAAGTTTTATCAGCTAGAGATCCAGTGAGGGCTAATAACCCATTGATATGACCTCCAGGAGACTTCATAGTCCTTAGATCAATTGTATCTTGCTTTTTCAGTGGCCCTATTGTAGAAGGTTTGCCAGCCAGATGGATCGTCTCAGTTTTATTCCCAGTCACCACACACTCCTAAACTTAGCCTGGTTTACTAGTCGGTAGTAAGTTCACTGAAAGATGGAAGGTCGAAAGTATAACTAGGAACCTCATTCTACAAAAACAACACCTCGGCTACTGAAGCGCCAAAACTTGAAGCCCTACGTTCACCTCGTAAGACAAGGAATGATAAATGTGCACGCTCGTGAGGAGTTCCAGATTAGAATCAAACAGCTGTTCAGTGTGGCTTAATTTTCGATGGTAGCTCAACTGTTTTTTGGTTTGTGATAAAGTCTATTGTGAAATCAAACAAACTTTCGGGAAGTACTGATGTCACATACATTTATAATATAGATGTCGAAAACGCCCGTCCAGATCTATTTGAAACTGTCAATTTATTTTTTGTAAGTACATCACTATTTCTAGACATATGAATGAATTCATCCAATATTAAGCGAGTTATGGAGTAATGTGACAGCTAGCATTACATAACTATAAGTCATAATAGGTCGATACTTTGCCTCGTTTGTTAACCTGTCTTAAGCTTGGAAAAAGCAAGAACTCTAGGAGTGGGGCTAGAGACCCTACTCTGGGAAATAAGTTCAATCTCTTCACAAACATCAAAGCACATAATAGGTTGATGGGAAAGATAATGAAAGTATAAGCCATTTACAGTCTTCATTATTCTTCATGTGGTGTTTATTCACTTAGCCTAAAAATAGTCATCATTATGAAAAGTTAATAAAGCTTTTAGACTAAAGTTCAACGATTGCAGGAAATCGCTGAGAAGCAATAGATCTAGGTTCTCTAACCATTGGAAGTAGTCAATGAGACCTTCCACTCCTCAAGAGATTTCAACATGAATCACGTTTCTTCTGTTTTAAACAAAGGATAATTTTTGTCCTTAATGTTTCATTTCTTTACATAGATGATATATATATATATATAATCGATGGTGCTGGATGGCTTAACTGCGAAGCTTTCATTGTTCTTTTAGACAGCATCTTTAGCACAAGCTCTAATATAAAGTGAACTTATTTGAATTCTTCATGAATGATATCATTGTATCTCCTGGCAACCTTTGTTGTGATTGGTTGTTCATTTGCATCAGTATTGATTGTTTTTATTGACTCGGAATTTGACTTTTTTATCATGTGGATTATTCTCTATTAAACTGATAAACTTGATCTGTTGTAATGTATCTTTAACTCGTTGATTCGTCTAAATACAAGACTTCTATGAATTCCCAGATTTCACTATTCCACACTGACTAAGATTTCTCCATTTTTCCAACTGTATTGGAGTCCATGCATTCATATTAAACAACGCAAGTCACATCCCTTGACGGTTGGTTTACACGTACTTCGACTCGGAGACGAAAAGGATACTCACTCTCACCAATACCCACTTTGACCAATATACTGCTAATCATAATCCATGCAATTTATTTTGGAGATGGTGTTAACCTTGTCTTCTTTGTTGCTGTTGTGCTTTTCGGTGTGCATAGTATTGGATGGAGTGATTGTGTTAGTTTTTGGTGCGATATCTATTCCGGACGGTTTCAGTATGCTAGCCGCTACTTCAGAAACATAATGTGTATATGGTGGCGAGACCATTATCATGGCTTTAACTAGAGTATTCAGGAAGGTATGGGAGGCTGAGAATGTGCTATCAATGTGGAATGAAGCCATTATCGTCCTTATTTCTAAAAAGTGTTGACGTAACTCATGTGACAATTATAAGGGGTATCAGTCTGCTAACAGTTGCGTCTAAAATATAGGCTGCTATCTTGCTTCACAGGCTGTGCAAAACACGTAAGGGATTGATTCACGAAGAGCAGACTAGGTTTTGTCCAGGTCGTGGATGCATTGATCATGTGTCGACCATTCGTCAGTTGTTGGAACACCGCCACACGTATTGCAGGCCAACAACCACTGTGTTTCTTGATATTAGGGCTGCCTTCGATTCGTTGGACAGAATTGTCTGTTATAGAGGGGTGTCCCTGAGAAGTTTGTGAACATCCTGAAAGCCCGAAACAGAAACACTTCAGGTAGAGTGAGGGCATACAGCCAACTATCGCCACTGTTCCCAACCAACAGTGGGGTTTGACAGGGTTGCCCAATCTCTCCATTTCTCCTTAACTTTACCATTGATGACATTCTGGAGTCAGCTCTGAGGGATGCGCGTAAAGGTGGTTTAGATCTGCTCCCTGGAGATAGACTTTCCGACCTCGAGTATGCAG